ACCCTAGCCACGCACCGCTCTCCAGCAGAGCCGGCAAAGCAGCGTACTCCGATCCGCAGAACTCTGATTCAAACCCCACCATTTTGTCCTTATGAGCGATCAAAACCGCCAAGGCGATATCGGCCTCGTCTGCCCGCTCGATAACACGTGGCGCGACCAGGTGCGATGCCCCCCAGTTCGGCGACTCCCCGTCTAGGTCGCGCCACGCGCGCAACTTTTCCAAGCACAGAGTGTAGTCTTCTTTCCACAGCGCGGTTTCGAGGGCGTCGAGTGCCCGGGGTTCGAGCCCCGACTCCACCACTTCTGCTCGGATGACAGTCAAAAGCTGCTCCTTCCAGGCGGTGTTCTTCTCCCGCTTGGGAAGAATGGTGAGCAGGTTCCTCAAGAAAGACTCTGGCACGCCCGCTTTGCATCCTGAGAGGACTGCGTGAGCGAGATGTTTCATGCAGTCCCGGTCCGCAAATCGGCCGATACCGTCCCATAAGATCTTGTCCCCTATTTCATAACGCGATAGCTGCTCCTCAAATTCCGACCCCACGTGCATGACTCCCCGCGTGAACTGCACGAAGCTTTGGAATGCTGACAGCATCTTGTCATCCGACTCATAGCTGAAACTTTCCTTGCTACTTGTGTCTTCAGCTCCGCAATCTTCATCAGAGTCGCTCCCTGTTTCAAACTCTGGTGCAGACTCGTTTGCCATGACGCTCTCCGTTTCTGCCTCGCTTAATTGCACTGAAGCTCTCTTCTGCGCCTCCACAGATTCAGCGGCAGCCAGAACTCTCATCGGCTCTTCCGCCGGGGTCTCCATCCACCACTTTACAACAGACCTCATGTCATTCCACCATAGATCAGTTTCCTGGTAATTTGAAGTTCCTCCCCGTATCTTTCCTTCCCCAATCTTCTGCTTGACCTGCTGCAGCATCTCGTTCCTATTGAGCACGAGCATATCCGCCACAAGGACCCCCCCCAACTTGAACGGGTCAGCCACCCCCCTGGAAAGCAAAATCTGAAACGTCTGCGGCAGCTCTAGCAAGACAGCCGCCCGCGCAACAGCAAAGCCTCCATGCCAGCTCGCCTGAGCATCCTTTAACCGCTTGGTTAAGATGCTAACAAGAAATTTATCTAGCTGGTCAGGCGGTAACGACGCATTCTGCAACCAGCGCCATCTGAACAAACGCAGAAGAGATGTCTTGCTCTGATTGAAATGCCACCACTCTGCCTGCGTCTGAACGTCGTGAGCTGCAGCCAGCAGGGAGCGACACGTGGCAGTCAAAGATTGGGGGTTCTCCGCGCGGGCCAGGATTTGAGAGAGGACCTCTTCGGGCAAAGAGGTGAGGGAAACTCCCGGAGGCGCCATCTTAGAGGCTGAGGTATCTTCGACTCTTTGCCTGTTTTCATCACAAATGCCTCGTGATCCTTCTCGTTGCAGGCGGCCGCGGGCGCACTGAGGGCGTATCGCCGCACGCGGCCGCAGATTATCGCTAGCAGGGTTTGGACTCCGGAAAGATTGAACCTCCATGGAGGTTTGGACGCCAATTCTTCAATGACTGAGCGGGGTCAAGGAGGTTTATTAATTAATTTGGGGACCGGGACCGGGAACGCTGTTGGAAGGGCTGACGTGGCGAGGTTTAGGGTTTTGACCCGGGGCTTCCCGATCAATGATTGGTCGAATAAAGCCTAGCCCAGGGTTTCGCCCCGAAACCCCGCCACGTCAGCCCTTCCAACAGCATCCCCGGCCTCGGTCTCAAAGTTACTGATTCTCTTTGACCGCGCTCTGACCAAATTCGATCTTCGCCGGACGACCGTGGCTGTATGAAGTAGCACAAGCTATTGGATGCAAAGGCAATTGACACACAGTTTGATATCTGTGACAATCAGAAACCCGCAGCATGCATGCTCACCTGATTTCTCCAGCTTTTCGTAAGGCCTCTGCAGTGACTAAAATTCTGGTGTCTGGGGGTTAGCGTGTCATACCCTGAAGAGGAGGAGGCGAGAGATGACGTCAGCCTTTTGCCTGCAGAAAATCTTCAGTTGCTTGGCCGGTTAGAGCGGGTTCAAGAAGTCGTCTCGAAGTTCCAGAACCAAACCAGAATCGAGAGCTTCTGGCCCAGCCCCGCTCAGTCTGCTTGATCACGTGCCGCTTCTAGTTGAAGCCCTAGATCGCCTGCGCTTTCTTGCTCTGCTTTCTACGTCCAGGAAGTCCGTCAACGTACGTTGTCAGCAAGAATCACCGCACCTTCCCTTGACCACGACGGCCAAGGGATGAACTGATCATCGCCTCTTTGTTGCGTGAAAGAGACCAGATCGAAAGTGCTCGTTCCTCACCGAGCGAGTCTAGTCTCCCCGTACGAAATCAAAGATCCATGATCCCTCGCCGCGGACGTCACATTCTGCGCCTGCCACAAGACGACGTCGTCCAACAAGGATTTTTGGACACGCCACACCCGCAAGGGCACTCCGTCACGCAATCAAAGCTGACGTCAGAGCGTCCGACGTGACGTGCTATCGGCCGAGACGCCAGTACGCGGACGAATTCCGGGCGCGTCCAAAGTCGATTGAGACAGAATGCCCGCACCCAGACAAGTTCTTGTCGGGTGCAGAGAAGATTCATTGTCTAGGATCTGAAACGAGTACAGCGGCGCGAGACGCTGACCATTCGAGTCGCAGGCAAGATGTAGATGAGACGATCAGTACCGCGCCGCTTGATGTAAAGCGCGCGTTGGTTCTGATTTCGTGAATGATGAGCAAGGACAGAGCGACGACCAGTCACCGCAGTAAGAGCACCAACTTGGAAGACCCCACGAAGTGTGATCCGAACGGAGGCTTTATTCGTGACTCGCTGCTCAGTTTGAATCTTTCTGAAAAGAATAGGACGGGAGTAGATACATAGCAGAACGGAGCTTTCTTTCCTAAGAAATGGGTGGGCAGTCATGGTAGAGACCCTGTCCGGGGTGAGTTCTGGCTCTGGACAGCCAGAAGAAGAGTCTGTATTCCTTGCCCTCAGAACTCTACCGGTAACCATGGTCTGATACCGATCCTGCGATCCATATGTAGAACGTAGGGTCTTGTCGATGCAAAGACTCGATCACAGAGCAGTCGAATACCATCCACGAGGATCTATGACTTTTTCCGCCAGGCCGAGATTCTTCCTTGCTCTTCGAATGGTACGAAATTCTCTTGCGAAGGCAACCCGGATTTGCAGCGCACCCTGATGGGTAGTGTCTTTGTTTACAAGTTATCTTAAGAAGGGCCAGCCTCCTCTTGGATTGCGTGGGTTGAAGAGGTTGAGTGTGTAGCAATTTTCTCCCAAGAATCGTCAGAGAGGTGTATAAGGTATTCGTCGGTGAGCCTTACGAGGGGACTTATGTATACGCCGGTCAACAAAGGTAGAGCACTGATTGCACTGGGAGCTCGCTGGACGAATCAGGCTTTGAAAGCCGCTCCAATAAAGCTCGTAAGCGGCGGGCCACTTTCAGATGCCGCCACCGTATCTAGTGGGCTTACCCCCTCTGCCTTAGCAGGCGTAGGTGCACTGAACACTTCACGTGCAAATCACATCAAAAAGCGTAATCTGTTGGATTCCCCCAGAATGTATCGTCGGTGATTGAACGGTGACCAAGCATGTATTTCCTAGCTAAGTACTTCCACTTTGGCAAATACAGGCGCACTCTTTTCTTGCCCACCATTTTACATAACAAGCAGGATCACGGCAAGGTGCAGTAATAAAGTAAGAGGCACATATCCGTCTTGGGAAACCGTGTCGAAGCTCTAGCCTTAAGTCCGGCATACGTCTGCATTCACTGCATCCTAAATCGTTTTACTTTCCCATCCAGCTTTAACGGCACTGGCGGCACTGCTATAGGACATTGCTTCTCTGCAAGTTATATACTATAAAGCGCGGAGAAACGGAAGGGTGACACCGCTTGAAGCTAGGCGCTTGGCGACGCTGTGATGCGCTCTACATAATCAAATTTTCGGACACCGTTAAGGAGCTCAACGATGGAACCACGGCAAATTCAACCAGGCTGCACCATGTCCCATCGTTACCCGAACCCGAATCCGTGACGTTGAATGCGCCCTAGAGAGATGAAATGGAAAGTGGTAGAGGCGCGGCAGTCGGATTACACATCTTCCACTTCACGGGAAGCCCGGGTTCATCACCTTTCGGGCTTCCTCCTTGCCTCAATGGCCTCCTCCATCAAAGAGGCGTTTAGATTACCACGGTTCTCAAGCGCGTAATCACAGCAGGACCATTGACCAAGGCACGTAGATTCGAGAATTCTTGTACAACTGAACTCTGCTGAGATCCGGTTCAGGTCTGTGGGTCTGTACAGCCCGCTTTGCGAGGTTTTGAGGTGAGGAAAAGCAGGTGCAGGTGTCAACTGGAGACAAGTACTAGCACTTTTCAAATAAAGCGTATTCAATCCCGAGAACAGGTGGTTTTCGTTTTGGGGTCCGTGACTCGCAGACGCCAGCAGAGTCGTATGAGAAAACCGACTGTACTAGTTGCTCGCGTGCAGTGGCCGTGCGCGCATGATTGAACGGCGATCATACATAAGCGAGGTCCCAAGTTCGAGTGCGTCCGATACAGCGGAAAGCCCAAATAAAATAATTGCTCTCAATCTGGACATTCGCCCGCAACTTACGCAACGGAAGTGCCGCTTCCGCAAAAAGCTTCAAACAGAAAATGGACTAGTGTGCTCGGCCAGGGACTCCGCTAAGAAAATCTGATCAGGCAGCGGTCGAGCACCTTTCGTAATGAAACAGCAACCGATCCGGTCGCCAAGTAAGGGAGTCCCTGTTTTCTACTCGGCAGTATTATGAAGGTACAAATTGAACCAGTTGCAATTGCAGCGCCGGTGACGTGCGTGTACCGCTAATTGACGTACGCTGACGTAAGAGCGATTTGCAGAATCCCCAAAAAAAGCTTCGGCCCGCGCATGCAACGCAAACTATGGGGCTTGTCAAGCGAAGCCTGTAGGATTGACCAACTTTGAAGCCGGCCAGAGCCGGGATTTCATCATAGCCCTTTTCAGCCCAATCGCACAAAAAGATGGAGGCAATCAATTCTCAAACCCAAGTATATATAGCGACGAGATCGCGCTGCCATTCGTGGTTGGGCTCGGAGTGCTGGCGGGCGTCCGATTGCATCCCAAGAAAATCAGAAGCTTGCAGTAGATTCAATCTGCAAATTGTCCCTGCCCAGAGCCCGTCAAAGTTGGGCATAACTTACCAGAAGGGCGAAGGATATATTTAGGGTAAGCAGTGGCAGACTCAATCCGGGCGCTGTGGGAAAGCGCACGGTACGTAATAAACGACCATACGAATAGCGAAGGTTTTGCCTGCCATGCCAGGCGGATTGGCTCTCAAGGAGGCTCGCACTGTGGACGATACGTACACTGGCCAAGTGCGCCATGCCAGCGGTTTCGAGTGCCTTCCTTGCCAAAGCAGACTAGTTGTTTAACTTTAATTTGGTGTCTTGCAGTTGGTTACAGACTGACTAGAATTGGACCTGCTTTGAGCTCGATCTCTGAAAGCTTTTCAATTCAACATCTCATGATCTGCACAGCAGAACCTGGATCTTACAATCTGTCGCAAAAGAATAGGGGCCCGCTAATCTTGACCACAGGGGAGATTTTAAGTTCCGGTCGGCGAGCGCGGGGCGAGCGCGGGATCCGGTCCGGAGTCCGGAGCCAATTAAAGTCCGGAGCGAGCGGCAGACTGACCGACCGCCGGACTGTGACTTAGGTGGGGTTAGCAGGGCGGTTAGGGTGGGTGCGGGTGAGCTCTGGCGGGACGACTTAGGGTTAGGGTGTGTCACTTACCCTTAGGTTTTTAGTTTGTCGTCACCTTACAGTAACTTTGGTGGGGAAAGTTTGGGGGTTAGGGTGGGTTTGGGTAGGTCCAGGCGGGACGACTTAGGGTTAGAGAGCATGGACCCTGTGGTTTACTGTTCACGGTCCGGCGGTCGGTCGGTCCAGCTGGTCCGGCCGGGGTAGGCCACCCGCCGAGACCCGCAGTGGCACGGTACGTACCGATACTGGCAAGTTGGATCTTGAAAAATCTGCCGGACCGACCGACCGGCGGACCGAGCCGTGAGGTCCGGCAGTCGGTCGGTCCGCCTGGTCCGACTGAGGTTGAATCTGCGAGTGCAGTCCGGCGGTCGGTCGGTCTGGCTGCCTGGTCCGGCCGGCCTGGGTTGCCAAAATGCAGTCCGGCGGTCGGTCGGTCCGCCTGGTCCGACCGGGGTGGGGCAGCAGTGCTACACTGGTCTGGCGTCCGGGAATCGGAAACACAATTGTACTGATTGTAGGAAAGCATGCGGAGCGGAACGCCGTGCCAGAACGGAAAACTTAA